TTTAGGAGTTGCTTGAAATATTGAATTGACTTTCTCTACCACCAGAAAGTGCTTGGGCAGATGAAAAAGGCAACTGGCACTTCCTTAGAGGACTGCCCTGTGACATTTTCCCACCTGCTTTTCTGCCAGACAAGGTCCTGTCCTTTTGGCATTTCTTCAGCTCTTAGAGTCAGTGAGTCAACAGCATGTTTTTAGCACCTCCTGTGTGCACAGAAGTGGACCTTGATTTAATGGGAGTAGGTAGCTACCATGGGCCAAATTAGATGTGTGCTTTCCTGCCAGCCAAGAGAGTGTGGAAGAACACGCTTCCTGATTCCAACAGAACTTGCTGCTCTTCTAGTTCCTTCGCTGTGTGACCACTACATGAATCTCTGAGTAACATAGAGGTGTGTGTCATAGGTATATCTGGTGAGTGTGAACTTGTCTCTGTGTCCTTACATCTCAAGCTTCACCTCTTTATTTTAGTGTTTCCCTGTGTGGCTTTGGACAAATTGCTTATGAGTGAGAACATATGGTACTCAGTTCTTTGTTTCTGTGATAGATCACTGAGTATTATAGACTCTAAGTCCATCCAAGTTACATAATGGACTGGGTTCGGTGGCTCAGCCTGTAATCCCATCACTTTGGGAGACTGAGGTGAGTGGATTGCCTGAGCCCGCAAGTTCAAGACCCGCCAGGGCAACCTGGCGAGACCTCATCTCTACAATAAAATCAAACTAGCTGGGTGTGGTAGCGTACGCCTGTAGTTCCAGCTACTTGGAAGGCTGAGGTGGAAGGAGCCCAGCAGGTTGAGGCTGCTGTGGTCGGGTGTGTGCACTGCACTCCAGTCTGGGCGACAGAGTGAGACTCCAACTAAAAATAAAAATAAAAATAAATAAATCAAAAAAATAAAATGGACATAATGCTATCTATCTATATCTATATATATATTTCAGTTAAAATCTCAAAATTATCCACAGATATTTTTTAAAAATTGGGCAATTTTACCTGTGGCCTTTGCACATTTTGATACATTTCTAAACAGAAGCCTGATAGAGATGAATCTTTTAGTGCCTCATAAGAAAGAGACTCACAGCATGGTGCAGCTGAAGGGGACCCAGGGATTAAAAAATGTTACATAGATTATTAATGTCCTTGATGTGTTGGAAAAGGACCCCAGTGGAAAGGCTGGGCTAAAGTGAAGTAGCCGCCCCCCCCAGTCTTCCTGCCCCCCCCCCCCCAGTCTTTAATATGCTAATATGCTTTGTGAATCTACAAGAAGCTGATAAGGAATGAAGTGTTTCAACACTTACCTTACCTCAGATTCTTATTTTGGGAAATGCTGGTCTGCCCAGCTAGTGTATTCTCCACATGAAGATGGTGGGTGATACCTTTTTGAGAGCAAGGGAGTTCCCAGGAGAAGGAAGGATGTATCAGTTGCTCCTGTTTCATGCCAGGGATTCTCAGCACGTTGCCTTTCTCTAGCGGTTCAGAAAAGGCTGAAAGAAGTCTCTAGGCCAACAGGCTGCCATTTATGGTGACCTCATGCTGTAAAGAAGCTCTGAGCTCAGTGCAAAGGAGGGACCAGTCCATGAGAATCCAGAAAATGTACTTATCCCTGACCTAGTCCACTGAGGACAAACGTGGGGTGAGGGAGAATCGTGTCATTAACTATGGTTACAAAGCTAGTCTTGATTCTCTTTCTCAAAGAAAACTGGTCCTGTGAGTTGAGGAGCTCTCAAAGCTTTTAATATGAAAATCGACAATCTCCAAGAATAGGGTAGAATGTACAGGATTTTTAAAAGTTATTTGATTAAAAAAAAAGTTACTTGGCCATGAAACTCTTACTTTGTGCAGAATCTGGGAGGCACTAGTGTTCCAGGGAAAACATTTTGGGAAACACTTATCTAATCCAACTTCTCATTTTACCAGCAAGCTGTGAAGTTTCTCTCAGTTTCCCTTCTCCATCATAACAAATTCATTGGAATTAATTTGATCAGACTTGGAGGGAGCTTTGAAGAGATTTATTTAGCAGGTGAAACCTTTCTTGTACATTTCCAGGAAAATTTACTCCATATATTTTGAGTTTCCACAGATTAATTCAACCAACCTTTGTAGAATATCACCTATGCTGAAGACTCTCTAGCTACATTGGTGGTCTACAAAGATATGAACTGTTATTCTTGCAATACAGGAGATTAACAATGGTCAATATGATGTTGCTGACAAAAATATGAAGAGCTAACAGTTATTGAATGCCTTCCTGTTAGCCAGGTACTCTACTAAGTATTTTAAGCCTCCCAATAATTTATGAGATAGGAATTATAACACTTCCCATTTTGTAGTGAGGACACTGAGGTTGGGAAATTTTAATAATAAATTATTCCAAGATCACAGACAGCGAGAGGAGAGAAGACATATATAAACATGAGTAGAAATGTGTGTCAGCCTGCAAAACATTTATAAGTGATGCAAAGTGCTATATAAATTAAGAGAAAAGAAAAATAGTGTTAGAAATAGCCTTGATCAGTGAGTGTGAAGTATGAGGTGGACAGTTACTGTTTGGTTACCCATCTCTCATTCCTCTGGGGATCAGCACCCCCCTATTTGAAGAAACTGTTTTCCTTCTCATTCCTTGTGTATTTCTGTCTATGTGGTTGGGCACATTGCCTCCAACTGAACCAATCTGCATGTTTGGGAATTTTGAAATTGGAACCAAGGGAAGAGGATGGCCTTTTGGATGGCAAAATCTGTAAATCTAGTCTGAGATGCGAGTGCCTTGTCCCCGGGTCTATGGAGCTGGACTGTGGTAGAGGAGAATGACAGTGATATCAAGAGAGAGGCAGGTGCTGTCATAGGAGAGATGGTGTCCTGGAGGACTCTGGTCATCTCAGGCTTGGGGCATGCATCCTTGTCTTCATTACTGTGGCCAAGGACTTACCACACATGCTTTTCTGGGAATGAACTGGCTCTGCTTTGCAAAATGAAATGTTGTTAGAAAGAGATTTTTAAAACCTCACACCATAGAGATGGACACTGATCCCAGAAGTGCCAAGGTTCCATCTATTTGGTGTTAAGCCAAGGGTCTCTCAAGTATAACAATGAAAAATTAGGAACTTTAAGAGGGAATGGGACATTGGGGTCTGAGGAGAGAGTAGAGGAAAACAAACAATCAAAACAATCCCCTAAACCATTCTTTTAAAAATTGTTATTTGACAAATTATAATCATAGGTATTTATGGAGTATAATGTGATGTTATGATATATGACTACTCTGTGGATTGATTAAATCAATATAATAAACATCTCTGTTACTTCAAAGAAATCTATTCTTTTGTGGTGAGAAGATTTAAAAGTACTTTCTTAGCAATTTGGAAATATATAATACATCATTATTAACTATAGTCACCATGCCATGCAGTAGAGCTCAAAAACTGCCTTCTTCCCATCTACACCAAAACATTGTACCCTTTGGCCAACACTTACCCATTCTCCCACCCTCTCCAAAAAAACTCATACTTTACTGTTGAGGAGAATGGCTAGAAAGTTCCAGCGGGTTTCAGTTGCTGGCTTTGATAGTTTCCCCATCACCCTTTAATAATGTTAATAAAAAGAGGAGAGGCAATATAAAAATTTGGACAGGTTACAAGTGCCATCTTAACCACTTTCTTGACCTCACAAAAAATCCTTAACCACTTTCTTGACCTCAGAAAAAGTCCTTTTTTTTTTTCTTCTGTCAAGTGAGAATGGTATGAATACCGTTCCTGCTTCTTTCAGCCTCCAAAGAAAAAACAGATGCAAAGCTTTTATTAGTTGCAAAACAGTACACAGTGCGATTTATTACTCACGGCTCTTACTATGATCAAACACTTTTTAGCCCTGCGGCAAGTGAGCCTCCGTCCCAGGAAGTGGATAATATTTGGGAAAGAAGTGGCAGGAGATTTTAGGAGAGTAGACTGAGTGGTGCAAAAGCTCCTTAAGGATGACAGGACGTAGGCGTTTCTTTCCACGTTGAGTTTTATCCTGTGTGTCCTTTCCCTCTTCACTCTTTATTTTCTGTGGAGAATTACCTGGTTTTGGATTTTAGCTGGGCTTTATGGAGAGAAGGGAGAAGACAATTCTTAGCCCCTGAAGAATGAGAGGATAACATAGGTGTGAAGGAACCCAGCACAGTACCTGGTACCCAGTTCTTGTTTAATTTGACTTTGCTCATTTATTCCTGGTTGGACATTAATAAGGACTTTCACTTCCTCCAGTTGAAAGCGATTGATCCCGCGAAGAGTTTAGTGTGGACGAAAACAGGGTGGGGCAAGCCTGTTTCTAAGCCGCAGCTGGGCAGGGAGCGTGAGAAGGGCGAGGAGAATAAGGAAATATGTGTCGTCTGTGTCGCTGCTGTTGCAACCACCACAACAAACAAACAAGAGGAAAAAAAAATTTCCACACCGCAGAGTGTACTGCCTTGGGAGAGGCTGGGGTCAGTGTGGACGGCTAGGGTGGGTCCTGCCGGATTGAGCGGCCTGACAGTGTGTGATTCCCTGCAACAAATGGTCGCGGTGGGAGTGTGTACACACACACTCACAGACACACACGCAGCGCCCAGCCTCCAGTTTCATCGCTGGCAGAAGATAACAATTCTCAGCTCGCCTTTCCAGGGTTATTTTTGGCTGGGGCTGTTCGCTGATGGCAAAAGGTTTCAGCCCCCTCCCAACTCCCCCCCTGTCCCTGTTCAAAAGAGAAACCGGTGCGTGTCAGCGGCCCACCGCCGGGGGGACGGGAGTGGGGCCGGGGTGCCGGCGGGGAACCCGAACTCTGCCCACCCTCTCGCCACCCACGGGCTGCTTCCTGGCGGAGGGGGGGCCTGGAGGCTGCGATCGCAGGGGGAGGC